ATGGAATTGAAACTAAAAAAAAATTAAACCAAAGGTATCTATATCCAGATAAATTAGTGTTATTGTTCACATTGTTTTTCATATAGTTGCTCACAAGGAGATATTATCATATGTTAATACGTTAGGCGCTTACCTTAGCTTGCCATTTCTTTCCTCTCTCCAGGACAACAGTATTTCCATGTAGGTAGATAACAACTGATGTTATTTCAATTGAAGGTCCATTATCAGCATTCTCATGTTCCACCACCACAGAAAAGATGACTTCTTGAGTATCTTTGTCAGTTATTTGAGTTAAGATGTAAGAGCCGGAGCCAGCAAAATCAAAACTGTTCCCATCTAAGGTAACATAATGGTTTCCACCAAATGTTACCACTGTTCCATAACTGACAGGGAAACAGTTCTGGATGCCATTCTCCACCCTGCACTCCTCATAACTCCCACAGGAAAACTGATGGCAGTCAACAACACCGACATCCACACAACGACACTTCTCCTGACAAGTGTTTGTAGAGTAGAACTCTGCTCCCTTTTTGTAGTATCTGCCCTCGTAGACACAGCCACACTCAGTAAGAGGGACACACTCATCCCCACTGAGGACGAATCCAGAGTCACAGACACAGCCTTCAACGCATGGAGTGTCACAAGAGTTGGAATTGGCAAGATCGTGACAAGTGGAAGGACAGCCATTTCCACATAATTCATAGTGGGAATTAGGTAGACAGGAAAAACCTGAAAAAGACGGATGATGAGATAGATTGTCAATACAGCATTCCAAGTATTAACTTTAGGAGCCCTGATGTTGACCCATCCATGTGTTGCTCAGCTGTATGGGTTTCCAAATATTTTGAGGCACATCACTAATAGGTTAAGTTACCAGGTTAGAAAGCAAGAGACCATGAATTCAAGACCTACCTTAACCATGCCAGACCGCTAGGTGACTTTAAGCCAATCATCAGAAGACCATGAGTTCAAGTCCTAGCTTAATCATGGCAGACAGTTAGGTGACTTTGAGCCAATCACCAGGTGACTGAGCATTCCAATCTCACCTTCGGCCTGAAAGCCAACTGAGTGAGTCTTTGAGCCAATCACCAGAAGACCATGAGTTCAAGTCCTGACTTAGCCATGAAAGCCAGCTGGGTGACTTTGACCAATCCCGCCTTAGCTATGAAAGCTGACTGGGTGGCAGTCATTCTCTCTCAATCCAATCCCCATCACAGGGTTGTGTTGTTGGGAAAATAAGAGGAGGAAGGTGCAGTGGAGATGTTCGCTGCCTTGAGTTATTTGTACAAACAGTAATGGCAGGATATAAATAATCAAATAAAAATCAATGAATAAATAGATGGCTCCCTAACCCACCCATCCCTATATCTTGTGCATGGATATTCAAATGGGGAAAGTGGACCTATAAATGAATTTTCCAAGAATTTTGAAACCTCTATTATGTGTGTGTTCATGATCCTTTCGATTGGTATTTATTTATAAGAACTATCTATCCAGTCCTTCTAATCCATGTGCAGGATGAATATTACTGCCTCACAGCCCTTTCTATGCTTAGAAATCTCTCTATCCATCTTGTAAATGAAAGGAACTTCTCTTCCTGTACTAATTACGGCAAAAAATTACAATTTCTCCCTTGCATCCTAATAATGTTTGATGAGAAATATGTGTTGCTTATTTCAAATAAGATTTAGAACAGCATCTCCTGTCTGATCTACTGAAGCCTTAAGTGTCTGGAACAGGACAAATGGGATGAAGATGTGATCAACTGGGAATGTCTAAGGGGAAAAAAGGCTTTCTCTTCATCATTAATTCTGGAAGAAATGTCTTTCAAAAATGCTGTTTCCTATGGCATTTTTGCATAGCATCCAAACATTAAATATGCTCTTTCTTCAGATATTTGGATGAAATGCTTCAGTGCTTCAATTAAATCATTAAAATATACAAATAACCAGCTATTTCCATTTACCAGTTTTTAACATGAGAGATAAGACTATGGAGAAAGAAAAATGTTCTCCAAAGTTCTGGTTATTAAATAGATCCCAGTATAATGGAAAATCTAAGCAACACAGTAACTGCTTTATGTTTAAACAGCAGTGTTTTAAATAGTGTTAATTACCCTGTTTGGATATTTATAACTCCCAAGACCTGAGACTTGATGGAAAAAAGAAGGGAATTCATATTATTAAAGTCTCATCAATTTCAGATGCCTCTCTAGATTACAGAATGTTAGTTGGACTCTTACCTTCCTGTAACTTATATACCACTTTGGAACTTATATACCACATGTTTCATGCTTTGGAAAAATAAAACATGGAGCAGTATTAAGTATTCATGTGCAGAATGGCATATTCACCCCAAGACTTAATTAGACAGAAATCCCTATCACACCAAAAAATTCATAAAATTATACATACTGCAAAAGGAGTTGGATCGCCACTGCTTAATTTGGATATTTTGAGCTTGGCAGGTTCTTGCATAAGTAGCGATGGCCCCACAAAAAACACCTGGATGTCCCTTGTATGTGCAGGTGTCAACGACACAATCTTCAAAGAACTTTGTTGGGCTAATTGTCCTGTGACATAGTGCAAACGGCCCATTGCTTTTGGTGAGGATCCCACAGTAACGTTCAACTTGGTAGGTTCGTTTCTCAGCCTCAGTGCATCTTTGGCATTTACCGGTGCATCCTGTAGTACACCCAGGGACATCCTTCACCTTCCACCTGTTTGCAAATTGTGTTACATCACTGGATTGACTTCCATCCTGCATGTCAAAATCATCATGAGGGTTCCGGTTGGCATTGCCACAGAGTCCACAGACTGAATTGGCATACGTACTGGGAAGGACAACCCTGGTGTGGCTGTCCCAGTCATAATTCATTGTTAGATCAAAATCGGTTCTGATGGTGGTATAGACCCCACTCTGGGAGACAGTTAGCTTATTTTCGTAAGAAAAGGGTAAATCCACTAAAACGCCATTGGCCTAAAAGACAAACAAGAGACACCATCCAGGGGTTTTAGCAAATTCAGAAAATGGGATCCTAAGGTGATTTAAGCCATTGCATTCACTAGGGATTTACAATGTCTTTATGGCATCACCCAACCATCACTTAAATGATATAAAGCCTTTTATATTGATTCAATGAGAGTTGGATGCCTCAAGAAAATGCTTTAAAGTTGCTATAGTGGAAATGACTTAAGATTAGCTGGGGAACCAATGCAGAATTTATGAATTGCCTTCTAGGTTTTGCTCACCTTTGCTCTACTATAATAGAGAAGCAGATTCCTTATGATATGAAAACTGTCGGATATTACTCTCTACAACCAGGATTGATCTTTTGCTGAATGCTTGTAGGATTTTGATAACTGTTTACTATGCTCTGTATCAGACCAAGCCTAGCATGAACAGATTTCTCTGACATGGTTGTATACTATCTGCAGGGTTGTCTCCTGCATTAAAGTTGCCTTCTGGTACAAGGATACAGAAGTGGAGGCCCTGATAGCAATAGCACTTAGACTTACATACCGCTTTATAGTGCTTTACAGCCCTCTCTAAGTGGTTTACAGAGTCAGCCTATTGCCCCCAACAATCTTGGTCTTCATTTTACCCACCTCGGAAGGATGGAAGGCTGAGTCAACCTTGAGCCTGGTGGGATTTGAACTGCCAAATTGTAGTCAGCTGGCAGTCAGCAGAAGTAGCCTGCAGTACTGCACTCTAACCACTGTGCCACCTTGGCTCATATGATTGAATGAATGAATGAATAAATAAATAAATGAATCCCAAGTAAACTTTTAATTTGGCCACATAAAAACTATTTCATTGGTACTTAGCATGCTAATAAATGAAAATACTTGAAGCTCAAGGTTGAAATGTGGGGTTCTTGATGCTCTCTGAGCTTGGTTGCTTTCTTCCAGATGTTTCATTACCCAAACTAGTCAACAGCTATCACTGAGGAACATCTACAAGAAAACAACCAAGCTCAGAGAGCACCAAGGACTCCTCACTTAGTATTCTTTCCTTTCTTTTTTGTTTGGAATCATCAAACAAAAAGATGACATATTCTGCATAAAATACAGCTTTATGAATCACTTTTATGTGCATTTTTTGTTACAGAATTTAGAGGAAGCAGGATTGGGTGTCGCTTTCATAAGTACCTTCTGCAACAGAAGAACGTTAGTGAATGGTTTGTAGGGTTCAACTTTTCCCCCCATAGAAACAGCAAAAGTCCCTATCTGTGGTAATATTTCTCTCCATTTTGCAAAGTAAACCTATAGCACTTTCTTGAGCTCTACTCTAAAAATCCTCCAAAGTATCTGTTAACTCGTAAAGCATTCCTGGCTTGCTCTCAAGTTGCCATAAGAAGGAGTGGGGGAGATCTGATGGAGCAGTTTGGTTGCTATGACCAGCAGCACATTCCAGGCATGCCTTTCTCCACATTGTATCCCAGATTACCAGAGCCAGCCAGAGAGGTGTATTTTCTACAGCCCGTGAAAGTGCTCTGTTGGAGAATGTGATTTATGACACAACGTGGGAGGAGGGAGGAAACAGGGTCATAGGTGGACAGTAAATTACGTAGGACAGAGGCAACTGCAACTGGGAAAGTGCCGATATGTTGCTCCTAATAAATAATTGGATTTCTTTTGAAACTTGGCTTGAGGCTCATGAATTAATTAGGGCATCTGTTGGAACCCTGACAGTCTCGTTATATAGGAAAATGAGAATTGCATGCAAAAGACTGGGTGTGCTTCTATAGAGTATTTTAAGTGGTCCTAATTACCAAATTTACACTTCCCCCATGCTTCTCCAATGTTCAACCACCGTACCTCAATCCGACCTTGGGCACTTTTGCTCAGGCTGATGGTCATGTTGTAGACCTCCAAGGTCACCGCTTTGGTAAAAGACACGGACTTATAGCCTCGGTTGTTGTTCTCCACCGTGACCAAAAATGGGGTGAGGGCTGGGTTTTTGGAGCAGACGCCCACCATCTGATACACACAGCTTCCCACAAAATCGTATTTGGTTCCATCAAAGGAAAGGTAATGTAGATTCCCTGATGCAATGCAGGTACTGTAGGTAGTGGCGTGACAGCCACGAACACCATTCACCACAATGCATTTTGTCTTGGCTTTGCAAGAAGACTTCTCACACATGGTTTTGCCTAATCTGTTATCACACCTGCAACGGGACTGGCAGTTTTCGTCAGCCCAAAACTCCTCTCCTGCTCTGTAGGTCACACCTTTGTAAGTGCAGTTGCAACTCTCCCTGGGAACACATTTCTCTCCACTGAAGAGGTAGCCTTCGTCACATTGGCAGACTTCTGCACAGGTGTTTTCACATCTGGATGGAGCAGTTCGGTCAGAACACGTTGCTGGGCAGGCATTTCCGCAGGATAGATAGTGGCTGTTCTCGGGGCAGGTCAATGGGACAGGAACCTGGTCTGGAACTGGAGCTAAGCAAAACAATGATCAAAAGAGGCAAAGGGAATCTCAGCAACCTTAGGGATAGCAAGGTAACTTTCCTTGGGAAGAAAAACACATATTAGAGGGCTGTGAAAATATTTACATACCCTTCACATCCCAGACATAAACTATTTTAACTCCTTCCCTCAAAACGACGCTATAGAGCCCTGCACACCAGAACAACTAGACACAAGAACAGTTTTTTCCTGAAAGCCATCACTCTGCTAAACAAATAATTCCCTGAACACCGTCCAACTATTTACAAAGTCTGCACTCCTATTACTGTTAATCTTCTCATCACTCCTTATCACCCATCCCCTCCCACTTGTGACTGTATGACTGTAACTTTGTCACTCGTATCCTTACGATTTATATTGACTGTTTCCTAGTATGATTTGATTGCTTATTTGTACCCTATGACTATCATTAAGTGTTGTACCTGATGATTCTCAACTCCTGATGAATGTAACTTTTCTTTTATGTATACTGAGAGCATTTGCACCCAGACAAATTCTTTGTGTGTCCAATCACACTTGGCCAATAAAACATTCTATTCTATTCTATATGGATAGCATTCATTTGCAATTGGCTAGTCAGATTCCACATAAACTAGACCTTATTCTGGTGCTGGCTGTATGGAATAACTTCCCTCCAGGGAACTGGATGGCCCCCAACTCAACTGGAGTTTCAGAAGTTGATGGAAAACTGGCTCTTCCTCCAGTCCTGGAGACCATAATGTTAAAATTATGTGGGAGCATTGACACAAGTACAAAAATATTTAGGAACTGTGATTCAAATCGGCCCTCCACTTGGTGGTGTTTCCCCACACCCCTTTGCCTTAATGTGCTGTTTCTCAACATCAGCAATTTTAAGATGTGTGGATTTCAATTCCCAGAATTCCCCAGCCAGCACGTTGACTGAGGAATTGTGGGAGTTGAAGTCCATACCTCTTAACGTTGCTCACTGACGGAGTGCGGGGCTCAATTACTTGTACTGCCGCTGAACAAGTGACAAAATAAGAAAATATCCCACGTGTCAAGTGGAAAAGGCACAAAACCCAAGGCCTGCCCAGTATAGGATCCAATTCCAGCTGCCCAGCCCATTGCAATCTCACACATTCCTCCAAACCATTCCTGTTCTCCCACAGTAAGCTAGAAATGTGCAGCCTTGAGATGGGGTTAAGGAACCAAGCTATGATCTTGGCAAAGCTTTGGTCTTTGTGCGTAGGCTGAAAAGTAAACTGATGACACCAGTGAAGATTGTGAACATCTGTTCTTTGCTACAGAATCATTCTGAAAGCACAGCCATGTCTCTCTCTCTCTCTCTCTCTCTCTCTCTGTGTGTGTGTGTGTGTGTGTGTGTGTGTGTGTGTGTGTGTGTGTTTAATAAGTAAATACATTTTTCACAATGATGTGGTACAGCTTGAGAAATGGGCTTGCATGTGCTGAAAGCTGTATTCGACTTTCGGGAAATGATTTCAACTTTTGTTGATTTGATCAATTTCCCCCCCCCCTGCTGGGAGATCTACAAATCCCTGTCACTTTTGCAGTATGATACATAAATACTTTAAAAAAATTTCACAATGAGCAATGCATGCCAGATGACTATTCCAACCAGTTTTGCTTCCTGTACTAAAACAAAAAGGAGTTTAAACTGAAGTTTTTGTGACTTTCTGGACAAATCGATATAGGATAGACCTCAACTTACAACCACACTTTGCGAAGGAGGGAGTTAAATGTTACAGTGCTTGTAAAGCTCTTCTTTGTTTATAACTTGCTTTTTTTTTCCCTTTTACTTCTTTTTCTGTTACATATGTCTATGTAATAAATAAGGGTCTTTTTAAAATAAATAAAATTGAAAAATCCTCTCTGAGGCTTTTTCCAGATCAGGGAGTCCAGGGAAGCTGCAAAATGGCTGAGAGGGAAAGAAACCAACCTCAGATAACGTTAAAGAAAGCTACAACCACAAATAAAATGCAAATGCCCGGGGGGGAAAACCTAGAGGAAATTAGAGGGTAGGTCCATTGACACAGCATAAGCAATCATATGAGAGATTCTTCTAAATCAAAAGAAATAATTATGAGAGAATCTTAAAATACGAGACATAGTGCTGACTATTATACAATTTCTTTACCGAGCGTGCCAAAAGGTGATGGAGCAAAACCGTAGCCTTCATAATTCTTGTTTCCGTAGGCCAACACCCCGAAGGCAGTTTGAGGATTCTCCAGGAAAAGTGAATGTTGGTTGAGATCAGCTTTCCAATTATATTCTCCCCAGGAATACTCTGAGCCAGGGACCAATTGCCATTGAATGTCTGCCACCACAGATTTATCCCAGGTAGCGGTTTCGGAGCTTTTTGCTATGAGAAGGACATGGTTGTCAAACTTGCTGAGACCATCAATTCGGTAGGCCAGGCCATAACTGGCGACATCGGGGACGTTGATGAGAAAGGGATCGTATCCTATGTTCCTGATCTTGATCCCCGTGAAAAAATAAGTCACCTGGATTCCAGCATCGGCAGAGATGTAAAGTGCTTGAGATAACTGGAGCGGTAACCGGGCGATTTCTCCTGGCACCATATCTTGAAAGCCTTTGTCCTGTCCTGACTGATAAACAACACGTGTGTTTTGACAAGCCACCACATAGATAATATCGAAACCGGTCTGTAGAGGCACCGGAGGAACGATGAAGGTCTGGCCCCACTTGGAGACGGGCAGAAGTTGCTCCGCAACGTGATCGCAGTAATAATTTTCCTGAACGCAGACGTGGCCACTCAAGACTGCCACGGGAGCCGAGGACTGAATCCTGGTGCCAGACAAGTCTTCCGCACTTTGCAACTGAAGAACTTCGAAAGGTTTGAGGCTTACCGTGAGGGTACTCCCTGCCGCGTATGACTGTCTCTTGAAGATGATTTTGCCTTGCGGTTCGATGGTGACTTGGGTAGGAGTCTTCCAAGCTATGACAGCCAATTCTTTCCGGTAACTGTCTGTAATGGTGCCCGGAGGTGTGATGACATAATAGGTATCGCCAAGTTCATGGACCGGGTAGAGGGTCATGCTCGCAACGGAATACAATTTTCGGTTAAATGAGACCACTGAAATGTCATGCTCAGCCTCAATCACAACGGAATGAGCAAAAATGCCACTGTGTTTCATTTCCAAACTCACGGGGAGATCCACGGGCACCGTTTCACCTCCTGGAACAGAGTAAACCTGGCGGGAAGAAGACTTGGTCACTGTCACGGAGACCCTGGTGTCATTGCCGTGGCCCACAAGAAATAGCTTCAAGCTTGTTTCAGAAGGCCTGTTGGTCTCAAAATTCTCCATGAAGGCCGTGATGAATTGCTTTCCCTGGGAGCTTGAAAACCCTTGGCCTGTGAAAAGGATACAAAGGTGTGGAAAACTGAGGTCAGGAAAGAATAATAATAAAATACCCCAAGAAAGAAGAAAGTAGAAGGGGGAGAGAAGGGAACACATTTGGGAAAGGGCTCTGGGCCAAATTGAAAGGCGCCAATAGTTTATGTTTCACTTTCCTTGTCACTGTTGAAGAGATAGCATTTACAAGTTTAATTTATTTTATTATTTCTTACATTTTTCATACTTTCACTTCAGGAACTCAAGGCAGTGCATAGTGTTTCCCACAATAACAATTCTGTAATATTTGGGGGCGGGGAGGAGAAAAAGAGAGAGAGAGAGAGAGGGAGGGAGGGAGGGAGGGAGAGGGAGAGAGAGTGTTGTGTAGATAAGAGATAGATAGATAGATAGATAGATAGATAGATAGATAGATAGATAGATAGATAGATAGATAGATAGATAGATAGATAGGATAGAGAGAGATGAGGATGATAGAGATAGATTAGGTAGATATAGATTAGATATAGATAGATGATAGATGATAGATAGATAGATAGATAGATAGATAGATAGATAGATAGATAGATAGATAGATAGGATAGGACAGATAAGATAGTGAGAGAGATAGGATAGAGAGAGATGAGGAGGAGGATGGTAGATAGAGATAGATGATAGATAGATAGATAGATAGATAGATAGATAGATAGATAGATAGATAGATAGAGATAGGATAGAGAGAGATGAGGATGAGGATGATAGAGATAGATTAGGTAGATATAGATTAGATATAGATAGATGATATAGATGATAGATAGATAGATAGATAGATAGATAGATAGATAGATAGATAGATAGATAGATAGAGACAGACAGACAGACAGACAGACAGACAGACAGACAAAGATGGATGTCTAAGATCACCCAATGACCACAACTCTATCAGGGAGTTGGGTGGTGGAAGCAAGAGAGAGAGATCCAAGATCACACAATAACTTTTTAGGATCTCTCCAGTCCTAGTCTAATACCTTATAGTGGGCTTTCATATATTGGGTAAGTCTAGCCAACTATGGTTCATTTGAAGTCTGTATCACCGCACAATGACACATTGTCTATCCTGGGTTAGGCTGTGAGAGAAACAGACAAACAAAACAGACAGACATGGATGGACTGGCCTGAGATTTGGGAATGAGCTTCCTCCGTTGGGTTGGGGTTTACTCACCATTTTGCAGCATTAAGGATGAAAGGAGTAGCAGTGATAGCAGCCCCATAGCTACAGGACACAAAGGGAATATAAGAAGAAATGTTAAGTAGGATATAAACATGAACAAGGGCCATTGACTGGTATAGAGATTTCCTGATGAAATGCTAAATTTCTATGGATTTATTAGGCAGAAGTCAGCAGGGCAAGCCTTTCCCATTTCTTTGGTCATCTCCCCTTCCCCTTTACTCAGGTCAAAATCCAAAATCCAATTTAGCACCAGTTCTGAACCCAAGGCAGCTCCCCCTTTCTACAGGCAGTATTTTTTTTTTTAAATCTCCAGATCTTTCCAACCTGTTAAGGAGGAGATAGGCCATTTATTCTATACTGTTAAGAGAAAAAAGATTAACCCCCCCAGCAAGTAAACAAAGCAAAAATTATCTCCATGCACCAGATCCATTGTCTGGCTCAATACGCTGTGGGCCATGGCACTCAGCCTATTTCCTTATGCGACTGAAAATAGCCATTATTTCAGTTTAAGGAAACTCATTAGCCTTTATTTGGGTATAGCTAAATAATCTAATGAAACCTGTTTGACAAGATGCAAGAGAAGAATACCAGTTTATTCTTCAAAGCAGGGGGAATAGAATAGTGGATTAACTACCTGTTGAAAGAGGAAGTTCCATCATGCCATCGTACAGATACAAGCTACGTGTTGCATGATGGAGAATACAAATGCACGGGACAAAAGCCTGCCACAACTCTTACCTTCCACAATTGAGGAGATTTCTCTGGGTTTGAGGAAAGAAGAGGAGTTCTTGGCTCACCCTCATCCACCCTACTGCTGTTTCCTCTTTTATAGGGAGCAGCATTCACAGAAATGGGAGGGAAAACACCCAGCAGGTCAAAAGCAAAACAGCCACTAAAGTTGCTGCCAGACAAATGAAGAGACCCAAAAGGCTGCACTTACTAGTAGGGGAGGAGGAAAATACCAGAAGTGATCGAGTCAAATTTATTGCCATCGTTAATCAGCGCAAGATATATTTATGTGGACTTTGTATGGTTGATTCATCCATCCAAACTTGAATAACAAGGTTATCTAACCCTTTTTTTGGAGGAGGGTAGGGTGTCCCTTGTGAGGCTGAAAGGCCTGCAGATGACACTTCTCAGTGTTTGGCTTTTGGGTAAAGGAGCCATTTTAAAAGGGCTTAAAAATGCTGGGTGGGTTTTATTGCTAAATAAGCAAGCTCTTGCCAAAGCCCTGTGCAGGATTTGTCTCACAACAGCGTTACACAACCTTTCTGGCTGAGATCAGCGGGGGCAGCAGCCGGGGCAGGGCTGGGCTTCAAAATTTTTAGCAAAGGGTTCTCTGCCTGGTTGCTGAGTGGGTGTGGCCACACTGGGGGGGGGGCATGTTTTTACCCTCCCCAGGCTCTGGAGCAGTGGTGGGATTAATTTTTTTTTACTACTGGTTCTGTGGACGTTGGCTTGGTAGGCATGGCAGGGGAAGGCTACTGTAAAATCCCCATTCCCACCCCACTCCACTAACCTGCTTTCCAGCTCCATTCTCCTGTGCAGGGCAACAAAAGAAGACCCAGCCAATAAGCTGGGTCAAAGCAATCATAGATGATTAAACTACTGTAAATAGTGGTAAACAATATGAGGTTACCAAGGAGAGCTGATGCTTCAAGGGCAAGCAAGATTCCTGGCACTTTCTTATCATAACAAAGTAGTTCCATAAACAAACTTCCTTATAGTGTATAATTAAAGTGTAGAGGTCTACTTATTAAAAAATATAAAAATAACTTCTCATCTTTACCCCTTATGGCTAAATAATTGCCTATGTAGTTGGCTTTGAAACTGTATTGCACACATGTTTAATCGTAACTACTTGCAACCGACATATACTGGATTCTTGGTCCCCTGAGGGTAGATCCAGTGACTCACTACAGAATAGATGGGGTTGGCGGGGCCAGTCAAAGGAGGTGTTTGCTGGTTCTCCAAACCACTCAAAATTTCTTCTACTGGTTCTCCAGAACTGGTCAGAACCTGCTGAAGGCCACCTCTGCTCTGGAGACTTTCCTCAAACCTCTGGGAGAGCGAAAACGGCCTCCCCGGGCTCTGGAGGCTCTCTGGAAGCCGGAAACAGGCCCGTTTCCAGCCTTCCTGAGCTTCTGGGAGGCCCGTTTTTCACCCTCCCCAAGCCTCCGTGCGAGTCCTGCACTTATCTGCATTCAAAATGGGCCACGTAGTGTCTCCTGGGAGAGGAGGGAAGGGGTGGGTGGGGCCAGCCAGGAGTGGGATTTGGGGGTTGTCCGAACTGCGCAGAATCTTAGCTGGGGGCTCTCCTGAACCCCTGCGAACCCCCGGCAGCCCCATCCCTGAGCCAGAGTGAAGAGGGAGTTAGAGGGTTAGTTATGAAACGCATGCACTCCACACAGGAGAATTGTTTTGAGAAAGTGTGCCGCATGCAAGAGGCTTTGTTCTTTTTCTTCAATTTATTTGTGTCCTCCTTCTCATTGTAAAAAAGTTGGTCACCTTAACAAACACAACTTCACATACATACCCGTCCACCACTTCCACAGCCCGGTTCCAAACCCCATGTCTTACAATAATCAGTGGTAGAAACTTCTTCTTCTTCTTTTTCTTCAGCGTTTGTCTCGCGCTCTGGCGAGGTCCGCTAATGTCCTTGAGTACTGCTTCCACGCCTCTCTGTCTGCCAATCAGTGGTAGAAACACTACCCAATAAACTTGGATGGAGTTTGAGGAAAGAATCCAAACAATCATTTCGCGATAATTTTTAATGTAGTGAGTCACTGGATCTAGCCTCAGGGGACCAAGAACCCAGTATATGTCGGTTGCAAGTAGTTACGATTCAACACATGTGCAATACCAACTACATAGGCAATTATTTAGCCATAAGGGGTAAAGATGAGAAGTTATTTTTATATTTTTTTAATAAGTAGACCTCTACACTTTAATTATACACTATAATGAAGTTTGTTTATGTAACTACTTTGTTATGATAAGAAAGTGCCAGGAATCTTGCTTGCCCTTGAAGCATCAGCTCTCCTTGGTAACCTCATATTGTTTACCACTATTTACAGTAGTTTAATCATCTATGATTGCTTTGAAACGAAAAAGGGTTATAAAGGAATTTCTCACTTATATTCAAGAGTTTCCCTTCTGGCTGTATTTACTGGAAGCAGATTTGGCTTAAAGGCTCTTCTTCCAGAGAAGTACAGAATGTTAGCTTTTCTCAAACATCCTTGATCACCCAGGAGTGCAATATAAATATCTGCAAAAAAAAAAAAAAAGCACTGTATCTTTCTCGCTCTTTCTGCAATTGTAGCCCTTAAGATAAGAATTCCCAATTGCAGATTGGATTATAAGGATTTTCAACCCACAGAGTATGGTGGCTCGAGTGGTTAGGACACTGGGCTGAAGGTTAGCAAGACCACATTTGAGACCCAAGAGCTGCTGTGAGGCAGGGTTGAGCTCCCATCCTTTATTCCAGCTCCTGCACAGGTCAGGGATGATACCGTTGCATAGCACCCAAAATTGGGATAAATAATGGGGTTTCTGGTGCAACCTGCTATCCTTTCTTTGCCTGGCTTTTACCCTGACGGGGTTTGCAAGGATTATTTCCCATTCAGATGTACGGAGAAAATGCACACATCCAGGGATGGGGCTGCTGGGGATTCGCAGGGGTTTGGGAGAGCCCCTAGCTAAGGTTCTGTATAGTTTGGAAAACCCCCAAATCCCACTCCTGGCTGGCCCTCCCAGGAGTCCCCATGCGCCCCGTTTTGGATGCAGGTAAGTGCAGGGCCTGTGCAAAGGTTCAGGGAGGGCGAAAAATGGGCCTCCCGGAAGTTCGGGAAGGCTGGAAATGGGCCCATTTCTGGCTTCCAGAGAGCCTCCAGAGCCCGGTGAGGTCATTTTTGTCCTCCCGGAGGCTTGAGAAATGCCTCCGGAGCCCGGGGAGGGCAAAAATGCCCTGCCCCCGCCGTGGTGCAGGAGGCCAACTAGGCCATGCCCATCATGGCCACGCCCACCCAGCAACCGGGCAGAGAACCCTTTGCTGAAATTTGTGAAGCCCACCCCTGCATACATACATACCTTCCATGGAAATGACCAATGTATCTCAGAGCAGAGAAGCTCCAGAAATAGGCATATTATTTCTTGAAACTTTGCCCCAGCTAAATTATGCTTACCCCACAGACTGTCTTCTACCTTCAAAAACTCATTGCCGTTGTTTTAAAAGATGGCCCTGGGTGGGTTTTCCAACAGCAGTCGAAAAGCTGGGCTGCCCAAATGTTAACTGGAAAATCAACCTCTTGTAAACTTTACACTTAGTTCCACAGCTAAGCCCAGGACATTTTTTTTTTTTAAAAGAGGTTTCTTGCCATTGCAAATGCCTTTGTAGATGGAAGAAGAAGGGATAGATAAAGGAACTTTTTATTTTCTGGCCTGGGTTGATGGTGAGGGATTTTGCAATGTGTGCATGTTGCCAGCAAAATGGAATTTATTTGAATTTCAGCTCCTTTTTTTTTTTGGTCAGATTTTGTCAGAGGCATTACATCCTGTTGGCCTGTTGCCCCATTCAGTGTCTACATTGTTCTGTTAAAAGGATATTGGCTAAAGGAACGATGTGCAATTTCTTTGAGAGAAATGATTTCCCTTTAGGTTCCATGTGGTTGCCCTGTGCCGTTTTAGAGAAATATGTCATCTGTTCCAGAAGATAGTTGTATTATTAGGAAACTGTGCGATTGGTTCTGTGGATGCTTGGAGATTTGTAACCACAGATTCGAATGGCCACATCAAATTAATATATGAGAGGCAGATATTTTCCTTCACTTCTCCCCACTGAAATCCCAGGCTGGATTTTATATCCATTTCCCTCACTTCATTTAAGCACAATTTCACCCAGATGCTAATAACAGCCTTCAACTTCTAGTTATTTATGCATCTTGCTGGCTCAGCTTGTCAGCTCTTTCGCAAGGCAACCTTTGAGCAATTTACCTTACTCTGTCTGGCCGTCTTTCTCTTTTGCTGACACTCAATTTATTTGGGTATCTGTTATGCATCAGAATGCAATATGATCCAAAGTATGTTCGACTCTCAAGTCATTCCCAAGTGTTCAAATTTATCCCATGGTGGATGCATGGGGCTAGAGAAAGCATTATGAGGGGTGGGGGGAATGCTTCCAGAAGTAATTTCATTGCAAACCTATAGAAAGAAATCTGGTTGAGCCCAAACTTTGATTGCAGGTTTCATTTGCTAGAGTAGGAAAGAACTACTACAGAGGTGGGAAAACAATAACCTTCTTCAATATTGCTCAACCAGAAATCCTGACTTTCCAAAAATGGCCCCTTCTATCTCCCCACTTTTTTCCCCACTCTAGGAGCACAACCAGCTGGCCAATGATGAAGTCTCTAGTTTTCCAATGAAGAAGCTCTCCAACCTTGAACTTTAAGGTGCAGTGGCAATAGAGAAGTCCTCTGGATGTTCTTGGATTGCAACTCCCATTATCATTTCTCCCCACCCCCCTTTTACTTGGAGGTCTTTTAATCTAATCCAACTCACTGCTCAGGCAGGAATCCCTATGTCATGTCAGACAAACGGCTGTCCAATCTCTTCTTAAAAACCTCCAGTGATGGAGAACAAGTTCTGGAGACAAGCTGTTCCACTGGTTAATTGTTCTCCCTGTCAGGAAGTTTAGCTGTCTGGAAAAGCCCAAGAGAAATAATCAAAACCATAAAAAAGCGAAAGTTAGAATATTTCGGACAGATGATGCAACACCCGGAAACATATGGCAGCCTTCACTTAATCCTCCAGGGAAAGATTGAAGGCAAACGAGATCCAGGCAGAAGAAGAACATTATGGTTCCAAAATCGAAGGGACTGGTTTGGAACTTTTCATGTGGCCAACATGATCACCATCGTCCAATGACAGATATGGCAAAACAAGAAGAAGTCAAGAAATTTCTCCTTAGTTCTAGGTTGTTCCTCAGTGTTGGTGAACCCATTTTATCTATACATCAATAATTACTAATCGTTATTATATTCATGGGAAAAGGATTCAAATTCATTTCTCTCAGATTACAGAAATAATCCATTGGCCCGACTATAAAGCTGGAGACAGGACTTTGGCATCAAATCAGACAGTAAAGCAAATATTTCATTACGGATAGATGTCTGTCAACCAGCAGAATGCCAAACAGTCTCCCTTTTCATTTATAAAGAAAGATGGCAAGTTTACTTTTCCTGTAAAACAAACACAGAGGATTAATTGTAGGGTTTTAAAAAAACAGATTAAAAATACCAAGTTGAGAACTCCGCCTATAATGTCTTTACATCACCACATTTACAGATCAATAATAATTGCATATGGATTATATTTTGTAGTTGGAAGATCTGGTATCTCATGATTACCTAATCACACTGCTTCATTTATGGAGATTCTTGTGTAGGTTTGGTCTTTTATTGTCTCTCTCTCTCACACACACACACACAATATCTCTGCTCCTCTGTTTCTCTATAATTCAGCTTGTCTTTTCTCCGCACTTTCAGAATTGCCCACTGGGAAAAGAGGTATGGAAATGGGCAGAAGTGGGTTGCCTTTGCCCTCCTCTGATTTATATAATTATTTATTAATTAAATTTTTCTGCTGCCCGTCCCACTGTTGAACAACTCTGGGCAGATCACATCCTCATAAAAACAGCAACATAAAGCAATTAGAATGTGAAAACATTGAACATGAAACATTAACAGGAAACTACTGTAGATAAGAAACCAATACACAAGTGGGATGGAGGTGGGATTCTTCTCAGCGGGGGTGGGCTTCGTTTAGCAATGAGTTCTCTGCCCGGTTGCTGGGTGAGCGTGGCCATGGTGGGCGTGGCCTAGTCAGCCTCCTGCATCACGGCGGGGTGGGGGTGGCGCGTTTTTGCCCTCCCCAAGCTCCGGAGGCTTTCTTCGAGCCTCTGGGAGGGTGAAAGTAGCCTCCCTGGGCTCCGGAGGCTCTCTGGAAGCTGGAAACAGGCCAATTTCTGGCCTTCCCTGAACTTCCGGGAGGCCTGTTTTTCACCCTCGCCGAGTCTCTACATGGGCCCTGCACTTACCTGCATCCTAAATGGGCCACACGGGGGCTCTTTGGAGGGGTGGGGTGGGCGGGGCCACCAAGAGTGGGATTTGAAGGTTCTCCAAACTGCCCAGAATCTTAGCTCGGGTCTCTCCTGAACCCCTGCAAATCCCCCAGCAGCCCACCTCTACTTCTTAGTCAGGTTTTCAGGCCCTTTCAGAAGGCTAGGGACTCTCATCTTGACTGGCAGGATGTTCCAAAGGATGGGGGCCACAGCAGAGAAAGCTCTCCTCCTGTACCCCGCCAGCCAAATTTCCTTAGCCAATGGGGTCCACAGCATGCCCCTTTTGCCAGGGGAAGTGGGGCAGGCCAATCCCATTGGAATGAGACGTTTCCTAAAGTAGCCAATATGTCCCCCTGCCCTTTAGCCTGTAGTCCTAGGACTTCCTGGTGGTCTTCCATTCAAGGATTAAGTCAGGTCTGACGCTAGTTAGCCTTTTGAGACTGACTACTGGGGTCACTGCACTTTCTTGTGGCATTCAGGGCCCAACAATACTTGGAACAAGATGAATGCTAAGTTTGTTTTCAATATTTAATAACTGTGGACATTTCTTCTTTCTGCTGTGACTCCACCCAGGAAGCTAGTCTGCCCATCAGTTCTTGTGTTGACTGCTTCTCACAAAAGATGGGGAAATGCATACAATGGGTTGACATGTTCCAGACCATTTTTGTTTGGTTAAGGTCCCTTTCCTTTGTGAAGTTTGTTGCCTTTGTAAACTTAGGTGTGGTAGATGCATATGTGGGTCTTTGTGTGTGGAGATAGATATAGATAGATAGATAGATATGTATATATGCACAACACACGTTGACTTTTTCTTACCATACAAGAAAACGGAGGCATCACAAGTCACTGCAACAACTTTGCAGACATTCAATCAAAGAAAAACAGAATAAGATGGAGAGCTTTTGTATGTTCCTACTACTAGTAGCAGGTAAGTGAAGATCTTAAAAGTCAGGGTTGCTTTTTCCCCCGCAAATGGCAAATCGAGCCTAATTTCAATTCCCAAAAAGGAAGTTAGATTTCAGATCAGTTTTGTATAATAGTAGTCCACTATGCTATCTACTAGAAGTAAAAAACATTTAAATGTGTTAAAACTTCAGTCTGTCTACCAATTCCTACTGTATACATTTGTATACATTTATAAATGTATACATATGTATACATTTATACTTATTATCTTGTAAACAATTGGCAAATCAAATAAATAAATAAATAAATAAAAATAGGCAGTGGTGGGATTCAAATAATTTAATAGCCGGTTCTCTGCCCTAATGATTTCTTCCAACAACCAGTTCACCAAATTGCTCAGAAAGTTAACAACCGGTTCTCCCGAAGTTGTGCGAACTGGCTGAATCCCACCAATGTGTATAGGGCAGTTGACCGTTGTATTATATGGTCATCAAAGCTAGATATTTAAAATGAGAGCATCTCAATCTAATCCCGAGAGTTCCTAAGTGATTTTTTTTAACCTACAAGAAGAAGGGTTAAAAATGATAACTGTATAATGTTGTTAATAAAAATAAGAACATGTTTTTAATTGGACTAACCACCTTAATAAGTGAATGGAAGACTTTATATTGTTTTAAAGTTTTAATACTATGAAGCGCAATGGAATGGAAACAACCACATGCTAACACTCAGCCTAAGTTATAAAATACTATGATCATCTTAACATGCAATGCTTCAACAATCCATATAATGTCATAACAGAATAAACTTCCATTCTGGCATTTTCTAGATAGCTTGGAGATTTGCCAGCCATTTCTTGGCCATGGTGGCTAGTAATTTGTGGGATGGTAATATGTCTTGGAGGGCACCTGGAGAAGGAAAGCTGAAGGATGCTGTTTTAGGTTTGGGTGACTACAAGGAGGTTTTAGCAGAGATCAGAACATAGCTATGGAAGATGGGTGGACTTGATGGTGCTCCTTTCTGATTATGGGAGCATTACAGAAAGTACTACCCACCAGCACAAGCCCTCTCCTTTTTAAGAAGATTATGTCCAAAAGATTAAGAAGATTATGTCTCGTGTCAAAAATGTGCAAGCTCATCTGAAAATATCCCACTTTCTGTGTTCTGACTTCCTCCTTTGACACTGCACAACAGATTGTTAGACTTCTGAAAATTGTACCTGTGTTCCTATCTTCTACTTTTGAATCAAAGTGGTTTTCAGTTATGTTCATTCTCATGTTAATGAAATGTATTGAATAAGGCATGTTTGCATGTATCTGGGTTTACGTATATGAATAAAAACACTCCAGATCTGATTGCATTTTTCTTTCTTTCTTTTTTTTTAGGATCAGCATTGCCTTGTCTGGCTGCAAACCCAAAGAGTAAGTTTTAGTTGAATCCATCAACCTGACTAAGTCATTTTCTAGGGCCAAAGACAATGCTATGCTGAGACAATATCAAAGTAGAATGGTGGAGGTTGATCCCAGGACAAGGATCACAGTTAGCTTCATGATCCAAAAATAATCTCCCACATTCCAGATCAACCTTGCCCCCATTATGTTCTCCAGGTGTTTGGATTACACCTCCCAGAAGTCTCTCACAGCAGCCAAGCTGTTCGGAGAATTCTAGGAGTTGGAAGTTTACACCTCAAGAGGACATTCAATTTAGAGAAGGTAGCCTTACACCTTCATGTATGCCCAGATGTTTCTTCCTAAACCACCTGTACTGGATGGCAAGGTCTCAAGAGAATTCTTGTCACACTTATCTTGAGTGCATGTACAAATTTCTTTATGATCATAGTCTGTTTTATTGTGATGGGATCAACTGGAAAAATTCTAAACTCCCATGGATGCCATCAGTACCTATGTAAGAAGAACTCAGATGAAATTGCAGTTGAATATTGGTAATCAATCTTTAAAATTCAAGAAAAAAAGTATGAAAATCATAGAATATTCAGTGCAAAATGTTAGAGACCTACTGCTCTTATACTAATAACAAATTTCTACTGGCCCCTATTGGTCATTCCCCAAATTAAACTATCAAATCACCAGAGTTCTTCCCAAGAGCAACCATGTGCTACCATTCATGAATAGAAATCAGTGGTTAGATACTACCCGGTAGGCCATCAGCTGGACAATCTGCTAAAAGATAGGTTAGCAGTTGAAAAATTCCCAAACCAAAGGTGGGTTTTTGAAGAATAGAATAGAATTCTTTATTGGCCAAGTGTGATTGGACACACAAGGAATTTGTCTTGGTGCAAATGTTTTCAGTGTACATAAAGGAAAAGATACATTCATCAAGAGTCAAGAATCATCAGGTACAACACTTAATAATAGTCATAGGGTACAATAAGCGATCAAATTATACTAGGAAACAGTCAATATAAATCGTAAGGATACAAGCGACAAAGTTACAGTCATACAGTCACAAGTGGGAGGGGATGGGTGATAAGGAGTGATGAGAAGATTAACAGTAATAGTAGTGCTGACTTTGTAAATAGTTGGACAGTGTTGAGGGAATTATTTATTTAGTAGAGTGATGGCATTCGGGGGAAAACTGTCCTTGTGTCTAGTTGTTCTGGTGTGCGATGCTCTATAGCGTCCTTTTAAGGATAGGAGTTGAAACAATTTATGTCCGGCATGTGAAGGATATGTAAATATTTTCACAGCCCTCTTATTGACTTGTATATAAGTCTTCAGTGGAAGGCAGGTTGGTAGTAATTGTTTTTTCTGCAGCCCTAATTACCCTCTGAAGTCTGTGTCTGTCCTGTTGGGTTGAAGAACCAAACCAGACAGTTATAGAGGTGCAGATGACAGACTCAATCATTCCTCTGTAGAACTGGATCAGCAGCTCCTTGGGCAGTTTGAGCTTTCTGAGATGGCGCAGTAAGAACATTCTTTGTTGTGCTTATTTGATGACGTTTTTGATGTTAGGTGTCCATTTTAGGTCTTATGATATGATAGAACGGAGAAATTTGAAGGTCTCTACTGTTGATACTGTGTTGTCTAGTATTGTAAGAGGTTATAGTATGGGAGATTTTCTCCTAAAGTCTACCACCATTTTTACGGTTTTGAGTGTATTCAGTTCCAGATTTTTCCGGTTTCACCATGAGGCAAGTTGTACAACCTCCCGTCTGTATGCAGATTCATTGTTGTCTCAATTGAGACCAGTCGCTGTTGTATCATCTGCAAACTTCTGTATTTTAACAGATAGATCGTTTGAGATGCAGTCATTGGTATATAGGGAGAAGAGAAGTGGAGAAAGCACACAGCCTTGGGGGGACCCTGTGCTAATTGTACAGGTATCAGACATGATTCTGCTTAGCTTCACCTGCTGCTTCATGTCTGTTAGGAAGCTTATGATCCACTTACAAGTGTGTTCAGGTACTGATAGCTGGTTTAGTTTAGTTACAAGAATGTCTGGAATGGTGGTATTGAATGCTGAACTGAAGTCTACAAAGAGGACCCTTGTGTAGGTATTTGGAGATTCAAGGTGTTGTAGGATGTAGTGTAGAGCCATATTAACAGCATCATCTGTCAATCTATTTGCTCAGCATGCAAACTGCATGGGATCTAACAGCGGATCCATGATGGTTTTCAGGTAGGACAGCACAAGCCTTTCAAAGATTTTCATAACTACAGATGTTAGAGCAACTGGTCTGTAGTCATTCAGTTCCTTGATGGAGGGCTTCTTTGGCACTGGGATGATGGTAGAACGTTTGAAGCAGGAAGGAACATAGCACATCTCTAGTGATCTATTGAAGATTCGGGTGAAGATGGGGGCCAATTGGTCAGCACAGACTTTTAAGCAAGAAGGAGTTATCTTATCTGGCCCTGGTGCTTTTCCTGGCTTTTGTCTGTGAAATAGATCTTGTACTTCTTTTTCTGTGATCACCAGAGGTTGTGAACCCAATGGGTTGGGGTCAGTTGTAGGAGACTTGGTCTGTTGTTGGTGTGTTTGTGATGGGGGTTGTGGAGATAGGTGGCTGTAGTTTGCTTTCAAACCTGCAGTAAAACACATTCAGGTCAGTTGCTAATTTCCTTCTGCCTGGGAAAGAGGTTTGCTATAGCCAGTGATGTTTTTAAGAGTTTTCCATATGTTTGCTAGTTTATTTGTTGACAATCGATTCCTTAACTTTTCAGAGTAGCTTCTTTTTGCTGCTCTGATCTCTCTTGGTAATATGTTTCTGGCCTGAATGTATAGTGAAGAACAGTATCCAACCCAAGTGGAGGCAGGAAGGGAATTTAGAATGAGCAACATCTGTAGAAATTGATGTTCTAGATAGCTGTTTGGAGGGGGAGGAGAAATGCCAAGGTCTGAACATAACTGCTTTTGTAAATTATGATATTCTCTTTTATTCTAGCATCATTGCTCTATCCTTATGGAAAAACCCAAGGTGACTCAGAAAACCCGGTAGCTGATGATGGGAATTCTCCAGAGATCACCATCAACAAGCCATTCTCCTTCTACGGCAAAAAATACAACTCCCTTTTTGTATGTAATACCTGCCAGATATAAACCTCATATTTCTTTATAGAAACTAAGAAATGGGTACTCAACTCAGGTTGTCCACCCATCCCCTAACTCTCAATATGGCTCAATGCATAATTTCTTTATACCTCTCTGGAGAAGCAAGATGTGGCATTTGTGGAGGTAGTTGGGGATGACCAAACTCCCCATGGCTTTCATTTCTAAAACAGCATCCTAGAGAGATAAGAGTCACAACTAATACTTGCCCACTAATAAGCCTTTATAAGAATGAATGGGTGAGATATGAACAATCTACAGTCATCTAAATACATTCAGAAACCCTATCATGAGAACAGTAAAAATCAGTGTGAGGAGTTATGGGGCTCCCAGTGTTGACCTCCAAGTCCCAATAGGTCCAACCAAAAGTGGGGGTGCTGGGAAATAAAATTTTACAGCATCTTGAGACCCACAGGTTCCTCTTCTCTGATATTAACTTATACTAGTTTCATGATTTCTGTTGAGGAACAATGGGGACTATTGCAACCTGTTCTCGTTTGCTAACCATCCAATTAACTTTGGGGAGGGGTTATGTGTGTGTGTGTAGATAGATGGATGGATGGATGGATGGAGATGGAGATAAAGATAGAGAGATAGACAGACAGACAGATATAGATAGATAGATAGATGATGGATGGATGGATGGATGGATGGATGGATGGATGGATGGATGGATGGAGAGAGAGAGAGAGAGAGAGAGAGAGAGTTGTGTGGATAGATAGATAGTGTGTGTGTGTGTGTGTGTGTGTGTAAGAGAAAGAGAGACAGCATCCTGTTAACCCAGATTACTTAGTTTATGTCTTTTAAGATTCTAGAAAATTGCCTAATTTCATAATAATATTGAGAATGTCAGATGAACATGGCTTACCACCTTGTTTTATATTTCTCCAGGTCAATAACAATGGGGTTGTCTCTTTTGGAAAGTATGTCTCAGAATACACTCCATCTGCTTTCCCTCTGAAAGAAGGAATACCCTTTGTTGCTCCATTTTGGGCTGATGTTGACAATAGAGTCAGTGGGAGCATCTTCTCGAGACAGACCGAAGACTCAGTGCTGCTTAGTCGGTTTGCTGAAGACCTCGGTCGGTACCGTGCTGATGTTTCTTTCATACCCGTGTGGATGTTTATTGCCACCTGGTATAAAGTAGGCTACTATGGATCTGCTTCAGACAAGGTAGGTCTCCCATAGTAATGGCAATCTAGAGCTTTCTTCCTCCTCCAGTGGCGGCTGCTTATTTATTGCAAGTAAATGCAGTGTAGAGGTAAAAGTGCTGAACTACAGCTTCCCCCACCTGTCACAGAAACTCGCTGGATGACTTTGGGTCAGTCTTTCCCTCTCAGTCCAAGAGCCATGGAGGTAGAGATGAAAGTCCAACACTTAGGCAAGTCCATCTCCAAGGACCGATAGTGGACCGCATCTATATAATCCTCAATGTGCAATATTGCAATGTTCAATGTTGCCACCAGATAGCACCTCTATCATCCTGCAAAAAAATGTATAGCCAACTTTGCTGATATGGAAAATCTATTAGAGTTAAGTCTCGACTTACAACCACCATTGGAAGCAGACTTTCTATTGTAAGTTGATCCAGCTATAAAGGGATTCATCACTTAACCAGATCCAACTTACTACCCTTTTTATCACCGTCATTAAGTGAATTACATGGTTGTTAAGTGAATCCAGCTTCCCAGATTGACTTTGTTGGAAGCCAGCTGGGAAGGTGGCAAATTGCAATCACATGATGACAAGATGCTACAACCACTTTAAATGCAAGCCGGTTGCCAAGTGTCCAAATTGTGATTGCATGACCAAAGAGGCTGTACGATGGTCATAAATTCAAGGACAGGTTGTAAATCACTTTCTCTGAGGCCACCATAACTTCAAACTCTCATTAAACCAGCAGTGGTTAAGTCAAGGATTATCTGTAGAAGTAAGTAACTCTGCTTAGTACATGGATGTGACTGGACGTTGGATAGTGTAGCAATGGGATCAAGAGCAGGGATATATGTTCAGGTAAATCACTAGGACTTGAATTCAACTCCAAGATGACTTTCTTTTAGAACAGGGGTCTCCAACCTTGGCAACTTTAAAACTTGTGGACTTCAACTCCTAGAATTTCTCAGTCAGCTTTGCTGGGTGAAGTCCACAAGTCTTTAAGTCTGGGAGTTGAATTCTGGGAATTGAAGTTCACAAGTCTTAAAGTTGCCAAGGTTGGAGAGCCCTGGTTTAGAAACAACTTCGCTAAGCAAGGATAGCCAGGCCTTAAAATACAATTTTTTTCCCTTTTTGTTGCAGGTCAACACTTTTCAAGTTGTCTTGGCCACAGATGGAGAAATATCCTTCATCATGCTGAACTATGCTGATATACAGTGGACCACTGGAACTGGAAATGATGGAGATATCTATACGGGACTTGGAGGAACTCCCGCTCAGGTAGCTTTGGGATAGCTTGAAGGTGCAACCCGAAATTGAAGGTGCAACCAGGGTTATCTCCTACTCAAGCTAAACCTACTCAAGGCGTGTTCTCACTGGGCTTGGTCTCCTTCATCATCTTGGTAGCTCTTCTCTGAACTTGCTTCAGTTTATTACAGGTTCTTATTAGATTACAGGTAGTCCTTGACTTATGACCATGATGGAGCCCAGAATTTATGTTGTTAAGTGAGAAATGTATTAAGTGAGTTTTGTCCCCTTTTACTACTTTTCTTGCCCCATTTGTTAAGTGAATCACTGCAGTGGTTAAATTAATAATGCGTGGTTGTTAAGTGGATCGGGTTTCTCCATCGATTATTGCTTGTCAGACGGTCACAAAAGTGATCACATGATCCCGGGACGCTGCAACCGTCATAAATATGAACCCATTGTCAAGCATCCGAATGTAAATCACATGATCGTGGGTATGCTACAAGGGTCAGAAGTGCCAAAAATGGTTACAAGTTTCTTGTTTCAATAGTGTTGTAACTTCGGTCACTAAACTGTTGTATATCAAGGACTACCTGTACAGTGTCCAGAATTGGACACAGTCTCTCAGAAGAAGCCTAACCAAAGCAGGGTAGAGTGGAACAATTCCCTTCTATGATAAATGTCAAGGTTCCAAGTAATTTGTTGCTGTTAGTTGCAAAGTTGTGTCCGACCCATTGCGACCCCATGGAAAAACATTCCTCCAGGCCTTCCTATCCTCTAGCATCTTCTGGAATCCATTTCAGCTCACGCCAACTGCTTCAGTGACTCCATCCAGCCACCTCATTCTCTGTCGTCCCTTTCTTCTTCTTTTGCCCTCAATCATTCCCAGCATCACGGCTCTTCTCCAGGGAGTCCTTCCTTCTTATTCTCATCCAAGTAATACATCCCATTTAATAAGAACTCTGAGGCAGGCATATTCCTCAAAGAACATTTTATTGGAACATATAAAATTGGCAATTTCTTGGTTGAAAAACGGGCTGTAGGTTCCCACCAGTTTTACCCCCCATTAAAAGTCAAACTTTGTCACTTCCCTCCCAGAATCATCAGTCACATGGTCGAATCAGCACTCAGTCCGGTTGCTAGGTGACCTCAGTCTCCACCTTTCAAACACCTGCACCAACGTCCTTGATTCCCAAGGGGAAAGAATTTTATTTTTGGCTGCAACATCCCAACTATCTCTACATCCCCCCTCCCACTGGCCCTGAAGCTGTGAGAAGAAAACGCCCTAGAGGAAAGCTACAACAGAAAAATGGCCACCGTTCACCCAACTTCAGGGTTGACAGTAGAGATTCATTGTTCTCATTAACCCATCGCAAAATAGATCTGCCCTTTTGAGAAGCTGCATTATAGGGTTGATACCCCGGTTGGCAATCCAATGAGAAAGTTTGTTGGGACGTTAATTAGAAAAGAGGTCATTCTTTCCCTTTCTCTACCTCTTCACCAGGCTGGCTTTGACAGTGGGGACAAAGAAAATTACTACAACATCCCTGGTTCCCGAACGGATG